CTCTCTCTCTCTCTCTCTCTCTCTCTCTCTCTCTCTCTCTCTCTCTCTCTCTCTCTCTCTCTCTCTCTCTCTCTCTCTCTCTCTCTCTCCGCTTGAAGATAGCACGACAATTTGTCATCCTGGCCGGGGGGCAGTGCTCTCCGGCGGTGCACGTGGATCAGCAATGAAGTCTGTGTGTGGCTGGTTAGGATGATTTGGCCATTGCAAACGCATCACATCCTCGAAATCATCCGGAAGCTTTTGACGGTAGGTGTAGCCGCATAGCTGCGCGAACCTTCGGTAGCCTCGGTGTCGATTGGCTTTGGCATCGAGTCTCTCATCTCCCACGAGGGTATGCAAGAAGTCATCGAGGCGCGCCTCTTCACCAACATGGCGCACAACACTCTCAACCTTAGCCACAAGCATAGACCATCGAATATATATTTCATCCGTGAAGATTCGAGGTTGCACCCGCCGAAGAACACGGCCAACGCCGCGCCGAGGGATCCTCCCACCTCGCCCATTGTTCCCTCCACGTGCTCCAGCACGAATCCTTCGCCTTGCGTCGGCATCGTGCATTTCTTCCATGAACTCATCGTTTGCGTCGTTCACGGGCAGTTGAGCGTCGTCCATCATGACAGTATCAAACAAGGCGGACTACAAGAAAAAACGACAACGTATGACCCGCCTAACACTGCAAAGAGTAAATGCATCGGCACACAGACCAAGGTTTGACAACGATTTCCGCATCGGACTGTCACTACTTTGCAATAGTACGGACCATTACAAATTTTGTTTGCAATCATCACAGCAGCCGCGAAGAAACAATGCTTGCTCATCATTCTTTTCATTCATTCGAACATGGAAACGAACGACATCAATCCACATAAATATAAACGTTATTGTTGGACAATACACATAATGCGACAATGTAGACCGAACAGTCAACCGACAGAGCTTCTATCATGCAACTGCAATCAACGACCCAACAAAAGGTTCGTCGTTGGGGTGTAAATAAGGACGACAAACATGCACTCGTCATTTGGCGTTTGCGTGAACGGACCCGTGGTGTTCTTGTAAGATATGACGGACAACAGGAACGACAATGTCGTAAAGTTTGTCTCCAAGGCGCGGACGAAGCACGAGGTTGTCAAAGTATGATGACGGTCTGGACATGATGATGCGTATGTGTGCCATCGAATATCGATACGTATATGCATCAATGGTGAAGCGAATCACAAGTTCATCCCCGACTGAAACAACCACACTGTGTCGTTCCTTTTTCGACCCATGGGGACACTCACCATCGTCATCATCGGAATAACCCTTCTTTACAATCGTCGAAAGATAATAATATGTTGTTTCGTTGTTAGTGACTTTGGCGGTGTAGAGGAGAGCATACAACATTGTGTTGTCTTTGTCGAATGTCGCTCTAATATTTCATCTGCCACAAAAAAAAAAGAAACATAAATACAGGATAACATGCAATTGCAGAAGAAAGATGTTGCTCTAATGTCGGCCACCATGAATAAAAAATAAACAAACAATCAACAAAAGCATATTTCAAACTCTTGGGTTACAGTCAAAATAAGGAATATCGTTTTTTATTTTGTAGGTAATTTCGATTTTTTGAGAGAGAGAGATAGAGAGAGAGAGAGAGAAAGAGAGAAAAAGAGAGAGAGAGAGAAAGAGAGAAAAAGAGAGAGAGAGAGAAAGAGAGAAAAAGAGAGAGAGAGAGAGAGAGAGAGAGAGAGAGAGAGAGAGAGAGAGAGAGAGAGAGAAAGAGAGAGA